TCAATAATGATCTCGCAGTAAGATTTGACCTCATTCGATGGGCGCAAATGCGTACGCTGATGAATGTCGCATGTGCTGAGGGAACTCGACGGGCTAGGCACTCTCATTCGCGTGACCATGTACTCATTGTGTGATACATCCTCGCAAAGGATTCGATTTTCAGAAAGTTGAAGCAACAACTATGACCTCGTTCTTCAATTTGAGTTCGGGAAACGTGTGTCAGGTTCTACCACGCGGGGACTCGTCATCCAAGAGGATAACAACATCACTCCATCTGCAGGCTCGTTCCACAGGCAGGCTGGCGTGCTAGGACCCATGCGCCGCAACTATGAAGAATAATATTTCTTCAACCTCCTAAAAAAGGTTGTGATTGTCTCAAATGGGTGCCCACTCTAATGCAGGGCCAACGTTGGCTAATAAATACAAGTAATTTTGATTCGAACGAGTAATATGTGGGACATCAAAATTCCATTAAGGCGAAGAAGGGGGAATACGATCGAAGTAGTCCCACTGACCCGGGCGAGGCTTCTCTTCCAGTTCCTCCCACCTGTAAATCATTGAGTATCAGCTTCCCGGGGTCGCCAATGGGGGAGGTGCAAAAACTTACACTTTAGACTTGTACATTTCGTCGACAAGCTTCAGTTCATTCTCGGCGACCTGGATGACTTCCTCGATCAGACCAGCACCGATCTGCTTCTCAATCTCGGCGACCCTGCGACCTATGGTCAGTTTCCCCGCTAGTGACCGCAGAATAAGAGCCTAGGTCAACGAACTGTTCTGCCTCAAGGGCTGGCTCATTCTCCCACTTCATGTGCTCGGTAGCAAAGTCCGAATCTTTCGCCTCTGTGGCAGTCGATTCCTCAATAGCTTTGTGCCACCGTGCTTCTTCGTCCGCTGTGCGAGCAGGTCCCTCGGTAGTTGGCTCCAGGCTTTCGCCATTCCACTCCTCACCACGGGGATTGTCGCTTCCGTCATCGCGCATAAATCCCGCATAAGTTCCATCGGCGAGGCGGAGAGAAGCGAAGCGCTCGGGTTCGGCACTGACAGCCTTCTTCACACGCTCTAGCCAGGTATCATAACCTGGGGGTTTAACGGACTCGACGATCTGCAGGCGGTGGCGTGTCAATGCTTCGGTAGATTGACGGTAGACGGAGGACTCTGGGAAGCTCTTCAAGTTCTGCAAGGTGGTCTTGTAGAGGTAGATCAGTGTGGGACGAGGGCTGGGGTGGGTGACAAGGCCGGTCAAGCCGGTAGGAGCAAAGGGCTCCAAGTACCGGGCCGACTTGACGTTGGCCAACAACCGAAACGTAGATCTCATATTGATCTGAGGATATGTAGGAGATAGAGGAGAATTGGCCCGAAGGACTCAGTGTTCACCCCCAATGGCCAGGGGATTCGACAATAGCGGGACTATCTGCTATCTTCAGGGTGTCTCTGCGGAGTGATCGCACGAAGGTTGAGGTTCCATCGGTTATCGGAGAAACAGAGACTCCGGAAGGCCTCATAATGCAGTAACCAGTCTAAATCCCCCGGCCTCCAGCGAATTAATTCATGGGGCCAGACTTCAGGTCAACTTGGACTTTATCAGCCAACGTGCTAAGGGGGGCATCAACACTCACCCGCCTTCTCATCCATTTTGAGGGCCAAAGTCTTCTCGCAGCTCGCAGGTTCGTTCAGTGTTCTCTATTATAAGCAGTTGCTTCTGTTGCATTGCTTATCACGCCCTGACACTGCCCTGACGATTGAGCCCTTCGATAAACGTGGAGTTTGGTCCAATGTACCGACTGTGAAAACCTACTTCGACCCTTCTTCTTCTACGAGTTCCGACTTTCGTTTTCAGCGTTAAGCTATTGTTTTACAGGTCTTCGACCTTGACCACCTGCCAGTATGAGGTCCTCTTTGCTGGCGTGGTCGCTCCTTTCGCTTCTCTCTATCCCAACTTTTGCCATTCCTTCCGGCGATATCGCAAATGATCTCAGCCTTGCGAACAACCGCCTCGTCAAAAGAGCGGAACCAGTTGAAAAGGCTGACTCGGGGCCGGCGTCGACAACATTCAATGGCATCGAAGTGCCGCCCCTGAAAGAGTTGACACCAGAGAGCTTTGAGCAGCTTACCAAAAACGGTTACTGGTTTGTGACTATTCTACGCTTAGCAGTTACCCATGTCATAGTTTTATTAACGGTCTACAGGTTTGTGAAGCACTATTCTCCGGCATGTCCCCATTGCAAGGCGATCGCTCCCACATGGCAGACTCTCTACGAATACTACTATGTGAGTGCTCTATCTACGTTCGACACGATAGTACTTAGTCACGTTCTAACATGCGCTAGACATCGAAACCGATATCCTCGTCTTCTGAGCCCTCCGATACTCAATCCCTTAACTCGTTTCAAAATTTCTACAACTTTCACTTCGTTTCGATGAACTGTCTTGCGTTTCAGGATTTTTGCAAGAAACTGGATGTCAAATGGTTTCCGACATTTTCCCTTTACCATGATGGCAAACTGGTTGAACAGTTTGAGGGTGCTAAGACTATGGAAGGTCTAAGTGAGTTCGTTGAAGGCAAGTTAGAATCAATCCGACCTGGGTCTCGTCCTCCGAAAGGCGTTAAGCTTCCCAAGCCGGGCGACAAGCAGGTAGACACGGAAGCTGCCCCGGACATTCCAGCCGCCAAGGACAAGGACCGTGTGGCAGGAGCCAAGGCTGGTGAGAAGCATAACGAACATGTTGCTCAGCTCGCCAACGAGGAGTCTCCTGTGGAATCTGCCACCCCTAAGGTGAACTCGAAACCGTCCGCGCCTGCGAACCCTCAAGGGATCTCCGTTCCTCTTACAGCAGAGAGTTTCCAAAAGCTCGTCACGACTACCAGGGATCCCTGGTTCATCAAGTTCTATGCTCCGTGGTGCCATCACTGCCAGGCGCTGGCCCCCGTTTGGCAGGGAATGGCCCGGGAGATGCAGCATGTCCTCAACGTTGGAGAGGTGAATTGCGATGCAGAACCCAGACTTTGCAAGGACGCTCGGGTGAACGCCTACCCGACAATGTATTTCTTCCGCGGCGGCGAGCGAGTTGAATACACCGGTCTACGTGGTCTTGGCGATCTGGTCAACTACGCGAAGAAGGCTGTGGACGTTGGATCTGGTGTTCAGGATGTCGACGCAGCTCAATTCAAAGAGCTGGAAGAAAAGGAAGAAGTGATCTTCCTGTACTTCTACGACCACGCAACAACCTCGGAAGATTTTGAGGCCTTGGAACGTTTGACTCTCAGCCTGGTGGGTCATGCCAGACTGGTTAAGACTAGCAGTGCGGCTCTTGCCGAGCGGTTCAAGATCACAACCTGGCCTCGTCTCTTAGTATCGCGAGATGGACGGCCCAGTTACTACAATGCTCTGGCTCCCAAGGATATGCGGGACGTCCGACAAGTTCTGAACTGGATGCGCTCCGTTTGGCTGCCCATTGTCCCTGAACTCACAGTCTCTAACGCCCGTGAGATCATGGACGGAAGATATGTCGTTCTCGGGATCCTGAGCCGGCGTCGCTCGGATGATTTCATCCTTGCCAAGAGAGAACTGAAGAGCGCCGCTTTGGAATGGATGGACAAACAAACCCAGTTGTTCCGATTGGAGAGACAAGAACTTCGGGATGCTAAGCAGCTACGTATTGAGGAGGCAGAAGACCGCAATGACCAACGTGCCTTGCGGGCTGCCAAGAACATGCGCATTTCCATCCGAGAAGATGACAAGAAGCAAGTCGGATTTGCCTGGGTTGATGGTGAGTTCTGGGAACGGTGGCTGAGGACCACTTTTGGTATCGATATCGAGAACGGAGAGCGGGTCATCATCAATGACCAGGATGTAAGTATCATTCGAGAAGTGCTGCGTGTACCATTGCTGACCGCATCAATACAGAATCGACGCTATTGGGACGCCACTTCTAGTGGAGCTCCCATTATGGCCTCGCGCACCTCCATTCTCGAAACGATCCCGCTGGTCATTGCCGACTCGTCGAAGCTGAAGCCCAAGTCCACCGTCGGTACATTCGAATACATATTCTTTGTCACTCGGTCCTTTATTTCCGGACATCCCATCATTTTCGTCGCATTGTTGACCATGACCATTGTCGCCGTCACTTACTTGGCTCGAGGAAGGTTAGCAAAGCGCGGTCTCGGCCGTGGTGGCATCCTCGGTGCTGTTGGGGGCAACAGTGCCGGATTTTTCCGTCTCGATGGGAAGGAAGGTCTACTGAATGGGGGCGCAACTGGAAAGGTCGATTAGATCGACAGCATCAAGCGCGTTGTACAGTTAGGTTTCATTCTCCCGATGTTGTTTTTTATTGCGTATTTCCTATTGGACTTCTTCGTTGACTATGCCATAATCACTAAACGGGTCTCTGCTTTTGACACGGACGATATCTTTTTCATCTTCATTTTCTCTATTCGGCACAATCCATTTCTCATTATCGTTGACTCTGATTGATTTTGTTTGAAGCGGTGTTGGGCATGTGGTATACTCTACAATTGGAAGCCGCTCTGGGATTTTGTCATTACATGGACAAAATACACATAGACAACTATGCAAATGAATACCCGTCATGTCTGTCCTTGGTAGCAGGGAGCAGATGGTGCGAAGTGTCAATCTCATATATTCATGAATCTCATCACAAAATAATTTGAGAAACTTGAGAACAATCGAGACTCTTACGTACATGATGCTCCTGCCATGTCTGCTTCTTTCTTTTGTTCAAATTCACAATGTCTATCTAGATCTCGACTCTGGGTATTTAAGGAATAAAGGGTATGAAATCCGAAGCCTCTTATTAGACACCGTCATTGTCACGTGAGCTTGGTTTTGCGCCTGCTGATTGGCCGCAGTATTGCCGCACCATCGGAGCCTCTCGGTTTTCGTCGACCTGACGGCTCCAAGTTCCCGTTGCTGTCGTCGTTCATTCCATCGCTGGAGTAGTCCTTGTTTCGAGTGTCCTTATACACAACTAATCACAAAATGGTACGTTTTGTATGGAAACGATATCTGTCGATTGAGTTTTTGGCATCCTTGCGACGGGCACATGAATGACGCTTAACCGTGTAACTACGGTCTTCAACATGCTATACCATACCGATGCCTTGGAAGAAGAGGCTGAACGTTCAATTGCTGACGAATCTCTCCTTTTCTAGTTCTCGCAAACCCTCCGTCGTGCTGCGTCCCGGGCTGCTGATGCCTACCGCTCTCCTTTCGCTCCCAAGTGAGAACCCCGTTCGAGACTTGATACCCTACAGACATGGATGTTGCATGGAGGAATTTGGTATTCGGGCGAGGTCAATGAACTGCTCAGACCGTGGGTCAATGGTTTGTGCATTGATGAGTGATCTGGCCTCCATTGATATGTCCGAAGCAGTACTTGAGGGGACGCTTTGTCATTTAAAAGCACAGTCTGGCCGTTTTGGAGCAGACGAACAATGGAAAGCTGGGCTTTACTGACTCTCGTGCTTGATGAAAATTAGGTACTACGTTCCTGCCCACGTCCAGGGTCTGACCTTCAACACTGCCACCAAGTAGTGAGTCTCACCTTTGGTGTTTCTATCAAGACAAATATTCGAGCGGACAGCCTTCCGGAAATCCTGCGCGCTCGTTTTATTGCCATTCCGTTCTAATATGCTTTGATCTGTAGCGCTAGCATTGCTAGCACCTTCGGTGTTGCCGCTGGTACCTTCGCCCTCTTCTTCTTCGGTGAAGTGCCCCGTGTGCGCAACGACATCCTGCGCAAGGTTCCCTTCCTTGACGCGTACTTCGACCGCAGCATCCCTGCCGAGGACAACGTACGTACCTTTGAATCACTCTACAGGCTGTTGGGACGGTTTGCTGACCATTTACTAGCCGTTCTAAACGTTTTGCAACTCCTGCGCCGTCTCCTGTACCCCAAAATTCTACCTGGACTGGTTGGTCATCTGCGTGCGATACCGGCTCAGTGGTTAAAGCAAGGAATCGGTACTGTATTGTGTAGAATAGCGATGGCTTTTTCATAGCACATAGACACGCCTGGTCACCATCAACATTTCTCGTTCTCTTTCCTTCTTTGGCACGGAAATAAGGCTTAAAATGGCAAGCAACAGCAACATTTTGATGACTATGATCTCTCCAATCTATCCGGAGACCCTAATATTGCACTAGTACCAGCGACCTGAGTCTTCGCTTGGAGGTCTATTCTGCACGGGGTAAGTTCAGCATCAACGCCACACTTGTCATCATCTGTCAAGTACCATTCCATCAACCCTGTCGATTCTTTTCCCACAAAGGCAGGTATAGCCTGACGAACAGCTCTAGTCAAGCTACTTCTGCTCTGGAGAAAACGTGATGACCCAATAAATCAGCGTTATCCGGCCGCTTTGACGGCCTATTCCCGTCATCCAACGAAAACGAACAGGGGCGCTTATCTGGCACGCGTATCTCTGCTCTTCCTCTTATCAGCCACCGTGACTCTCCGGCAAATCGAACGCAGTTTATTCAACTCGAGATATTGATAAGGGATGTTTCCTGGCTTGTGAGTCTCCGTTTGACCTTCTGGTCGAAGCTTCCCCCAAGCTTTATTTGAATCCCCGCCGCCTGAAGTTTCCTCCTCGAGTATGGACTTGCCGCCAAGCTTTGTCTTGATGCATATGACTGTGTAGGATATCCACGAGGTCATCCATGCTTTTCAAGAAATAAACCAGCAGTAGGGCGGGGATTTTATTCTAATTCGACAAGGCAATCCTATATGACCCGCCCCTTGCGAGCGATGATCCTGTCGCAGCTCGGATAGTTGCGAGCTTAGCGTGACCAATGCGCCAAGCATATCAGGACTCTTCCCCTCATTCTTCCTAATCTTTGACGTTATCTATCAGGCGGTTTGGTCTCATTATCGACAGCAATGGCCCAAGAGTTTGGTTTTGGTGCCAGCGGGCGGGCTTTATGGTCGGTTTGGTCGAGTATATCTACTGCAATGCATCCCTGCTTTTTCATTGAGCGACAAGTGTCGGCTCATGCAAGGTGCTATCATCAGAGCTACCTTTTTGAGGGTTACACAAAGTTGGATTTGTCTGCTTTAATAAGGTCATGAGACACCTTGAACTCGTCCTTTCTGCTACCACTATTATTTTCCTCCGTGGACACAAGCAATACCTACTGTTACAGTTAGACTTGGACTAGACGCAGTAATGTCGTCTACCAAGACCGCTTCGAAACAAGCGGTTTATCCAGATGTCAACCACGATCCCGTCACGTCTGTCCTGCCAAACGGGGATATCCCGTACACGGATCATGAGATGGACGCGGACGAGCGGGTGATTGTGGCCCTGGGTTACAAGCAAGAATTCAAACGAGAGTTCTCTCTGTGGACTACGTTCTGCGTCAGCTTTGCCGTGCTAGGGCTACTTCCCTCGTTCGCGAGTACTCTGTACTATGGTAATAATACCTCGCTCTCCTGTCACGGTCCATCTGCCCGGCACTGACAGTGGCTTAAAGGAATGGGTTATGCGGGAACAGCAGGCATGGTCTGGGGGTGGATCATCGCCATGGTCTTTATTCAATGTGTGGCAATGGCAATGGCCGAACTATGTTCTGCAATGCCGACGAGGTAGGTTCATTGGATTTTTGCTTGTATCGCTCTCGTCAATGGACAACTTACTGGATTAGTGGTGGCTTGTACTACGCAGCGGCAGTTCTCGCACCTCCAGGGTACGGACCCTTTGCAGCCTGGCTCACAGGTTGGTCCAACTGGATTGGCCAAATCACAGCAGCGCCGTCGGTAAATTTTGCATTAGCGGCGATGATTCTGGCTGCTGCTTCGATTTCCAACCCGGACTATGTCCCAACCAGCTGGCAGACGTTCCTCCTCACGACGCTGATCATGATTATACACACCTTCATCAGTAGCATGCCGACGAAATGGGTCGCGAGAATCAATTCATACGGTTCGACCTTCAACATGATCGCTCTCGTTGTCGTCCTCATTGCCATTCCTGCGGGTACGAAGAATGAACCAAAATTCACGCCGTCGAAAGAGGTATGGGGAACCATTACCAACGGGACGGACTTTCCGGACGGAGTCGCTGTGCTCATGACCTTTGTCGGTGTCATCTGGACCATGTCGGGCTACGATTCTCCTTTCCATCTGAGCGAGGAATGCTCGAATGCAAACGTCGCCTCGCCGCGTGCCATTGTGATGACCTCTGGGATCGGCGGCCTCATGGGCTGGTTCCTGCAGCTGGTAGTCGCCTACACTGTCCTCGACATCGAGGCCGTGATTGACTCAGATCTCGGACAACCTTGGGCATCGTACTTGCTGCAAGTCATGCCGCGCAAGACAGCCATGGCCATCCTCGGACTGACCATTGTCTGCGGATTCTCCATGGGCCAGGGTTGCATGGTTGCCGCGTCGCGGGTGACCTACGCCTACGCTCGCGACGATTGCTTCCCATTGTCACGGATCTGGAAAAAGGTCAACGAGACGACCAAGACCCCTGTCAACGCCGTCATCCTCAACACTATCCTGGGTATTCTGATGTGCCTTCTTATTCTGGCGGGCGATGTGGCCATCGGAGCCTTGTTTTCCATTGGCGCCATTGCACAGTTCGTCGCCTTTGCCATACCCATTGCGATTCGGGTGTTCTTCGTGGGGAACCGCTTCCGCAAGGGACCATGGCACCTGGGACCCTTTGGACCGGCAATTGGAGGGCTCGGCGTCGTGTTTGTTCTGCTGATGGTGCCCATTTTGTGTTTTCCCAGCGTGAGGGGGGCGGATCTGACGCCTGACCAGATGAATTGGACATGTCTGGTCTGGGGTGCGCCGATGCTGGCGGTGACTATTTGGTGGGTCGTCGATGCACGCAGGTGGTTCAAGGGTCCCAAGATCAACGTGGAGCATGCGATCCATGGCGTGGAGGCGATTGTGGATGTGGGGGTGGAGGTGGAGGATCAACGAGAAAGTCAAGATGATGCAGTGAGCAAGTCTTCGCATTAGTCCTCCGTTGGTTTTACCATTTGGCGGTATCTAGCTATAGCTATCATGTAATTTTCTTCTGCCACTCTTGATAACCTTCATATTAATCGATTTTCTTCTATGAAATGCGGCAGCATACCAAACCGAGTACATCCTTTCATCGGAGCTTACATGCATCACCCAAGTGGACTGCTGGTCTTGTCCAAAAAGCAGCGAGATTCATATATATATACATTAATAGGGCAGCAGCTCGAACCGTTCGAATTCCGCCATTTGATATAAAAAGCCATGGCCAGAAGATGAAGTCTCTCAAGGACATTGTTCCTAGGCCCACTACAATGTCAGAACAAGACTGCCTCAGAGATATGTTCCATTCCTGCATTTGATAACCATGGTCTTTTCTAGTCTCAATATCAGATCCTCAGAGATGCGGATTCTGCCACTCCGTCTTAACCAGAGTCCCACACAGCTTATCCCCCCTCTAGCATTGGATGAGGCTTAGCATTAACGTGCATGACTTGATTCTACCGACTATCCGCTGGCTTGATGCAAGCTCCACACTCCATCCTGGAAGCACGGAATATCTATCGGAAAATCTATAACACGTACGCTGGCTGCGTCGGGAGATGCTCAATTTCCCACATACCAAGCAGGTAACATGGGTTAAGATAAAGGAATCTGGACTACAGCGGATGGATCGCATGCCAAAGTTCAGTCCAGCCGTGAGTCTGGAATAGAGGTATATCGCATTCGACTGTGGAACTCATGCAGCTCATTTGATTGTCCTTGTTACTCGCGTCCGCACCGTGTTTCTGTCTATATAAAGTAATCAGCGTGGTCCATCTGGTGCAATGTCCACTCCTGAGACTGATAAATATAGTAACCTCCCTTTCTACTCTGTATATCGAATCTAGTATTTTCATGCATGGGGGAAATCCAGGGGTAAGTTAAGCGGTTCCTACTACTCCGTACTACTTCGTCACTTCGTCAACTGTTGATTTCAACCAGGACCTTATAGTTACAAAGCTTTTATTCCGTGCTTATCCTTCGAGTACTCATTCGACAGATGGTCCATAGCACATGCAACGCTTAGAGATATCCTCTCGCTGGAAGCGCGACAACCACATGCTTGGGCTACAAGCTATCATGGGTTCCATCACAACACACTATCACTATCCAACCATGGAGCTCAATGAGGTTATTCGGGCTACGAAAGTATAATCGTGCCGCAGCCCGCGTGCGTTTTGCCAACGGCGTGTAGTTTACTCGATTTGTCGATCAACGCTCCTTTTCCGGTCTCAGGATTGACAGGGGTTGCGTAGATAAGACTCGCTTTGTTTTTACGACCTAGAGGGGTAAGATTTCCATCAACACCATATTCCGGTTTAATCTTTGCGACGCTGTAGGATGCCCTTATGGTGAAAAGGGGCTATAGTAGTTGTTAGGAGGAGCTTCGTATATTTGGGGTATTCTCTTGAATATGTCCGTGTCTACGGCGTACTCCCTAATCTCGACTCCTTAATGTCCAGAGGCAGAGAGAGGGCCTACACGGTACCTTCTTCGTTTCTGTTACTTTATGACGCGGCTGGTGATGAAGTGAGGCGGCTGAGGCCGATGATATGAGACAGTTAGAAATCCCTCATATAGGATAGACCCCTATGCATCAAGATGATCTACAGAGTACCCCTCGGTACAGATTGGAAATTGTAGCTGCAACGCAGGGACAGACAGATATTCTGTAAACAATGACGTTTGGCGGGGCTCACTCCCCCTCTCAGACAGTTTCATCCAAGCATAAGCAATATCCAGATAAGCTGATTACTCAGCTATGCAATCAAGATCAACTAGTCGAGTAACCTCAACCGCTCAACAAATCAGACAAATTTTGCTCGCACAACTACCCGAAGAA